CCAAAAAAGGGTTTCAATGAAAATAAAACTCGAAAGCTCAGACTCGTTATCTCTATATATAAAGCTATCAGAAAGAAAACTGGGAATCAACGCACAGCCAAAACCACTGGCTAACAATATTAATATGCATTTTTATTACATTCTAATAACTTTAAACTGATTTGCTAAGATTTATTGGCGCTCTCCAAGTCGCCCATTCCATTTTCGCCAGGTCCATTTTCTTTTCAAAAATTCTGGACGCTAAATCGTTAAACCAATCGAATCCGTGTTTTCGCCCAAAAACAGTTTAAAGTCTTAAAATGTTTAAAAAATTCTACCGTTTAGATTTCAGGCTTTTTACTATTTTTAACACCCGTTCTAAAATTTCAATTTAGCCAAAAATATCTTCAAACGTCGAAAAATGGCACTTCTAAACTGAGTATCAAAAATTCCTTCGGTAAAGTTTTTCCTTAAGCTTTAACGATTCATTTGATGGTTTCACCAAAGCTCTAGCTATCTTCTAAACAAAGAAACTAAGCAAAAAGTCGATCTTTTATCGAATTTAAGTGTATTCATAAGCATCATACGTTTTCTGCCTGCATATTGCTATCTCTCTCTGCATTTTCATACAAATTGTCAACAAATGATTCCGTCTCCCTCCATACTCGCATACTCGTTTGTCGATCTGAGTACTAGGCTTTAGCGGACAGGATTTCATTTTCTAATTGAATGAGCTTGGGGCCCTTTGGTGTGGGTGGGTCACCAATAACTATAAACTAAAGTCTACAGAAATTCAAATTGTATTAAAGCTCATTTAATATTTTTAAGGAAGCGCAGGGAAATGCAAGGCAGAGGGAGAGTCTAAAAAATATTACGGCTATTTTTAATACCCGATTAAAAAGTAGCCGTCTTATTCAGCATACGCTTGCATATATACATCTCCATCTCTTTTCCACCCCTGACTCTGCTTTATGATTGTCATTTTTTTCTTCGAAATACCATTACAAAAACTAATTAAAGTTGGTGTAACTATATTTTCGCCAACCCAATACCAAATAGTAATTTCTTGAATATGTTCAAAAACAAATACACTCAAAAGAATGAAATATACATATTCAAAAGCCCACACAGAAATACACACACGTATTCGATCAACTAAGGGAATTCATTCATCTATGTATATATATAAATCTATCACTAAGAATACGAACCAATGCACAGCCAAATCCACTGGTTAACAATATTAATATTCATTTTTATTACATTCTAATAACTTTAAACTGATTTGCTAAGATTTATTGGGGCTCCCCAAGTGGCCCCAATCGCTTCCAATTGGAAAAAAGTTCCATTTTTTTTTCAAAAATTCTGGACGCTAAACCGTTTAACCAATCGAATCCGTGTTTTCGCCAAAAAAAGAAGCTTAAGACATTATAAATGTTTAACAAATTTAACCACTTAGATTTAAGGCTTTTTACTATTTTTAACACACGTTTTCAAAAATAAATATGCAGATTTCTGTTAGGACAGATGTACGCGGTGAAATAAACACCGTAAATGATAGGGACATTTACAGCAAACAATACCCTTATGCTCCATCAGTTTCTGATTTTGTAAATTCAGAAATAAGCCGAATGCTAAAAGAAGAAATTATAAGGTCAAGTAGAAGTCTTTATAATTCCCCTGTACTAGTGCTACCAAAAAAGGGTTTCAATGAAAATAAAACTCGAAAGCTCAGACTCGTTATCTCTATATATAAAGCTATCAGTAAGAAAACTGGGAATCAACGCACAGCCAAAACCACTGGCTAACAATATTAATATGCATTTTTATTACATTCTAATAACTTTAAACTGATTTGCTAAGATTTATTGGCGCTCTCCAAGTCGCCCATTCCATTTTCGCCAGGTCCATTTTCTTTTCAAAAATTCTGGACGCTAAATCGTTCAACCAATCGAATCCGTGTTTTCGCCCAAAAACAGTTTAAAGTCTTAAAATGTTTAAAAAATTCTACCGTTTAGATTTCAGGCTTTTTACTATTTTTAACACCCGTTCTAAAATTTCAGTTTAGCCAAAAATATCTTCAAACGTCGAAAAATGGCACTTCTAAACTGAGTATCAAAAATTCCTTCGGTAAAGTTTTTCCTTAAGCTTTAACGATTCATTTGATGGTTTCACCAAAGCTCTAGCTATCTTCTAAACAAAGAAACTAAGCAAAAAGTCGATCTTTTATCGAATTTAAGTGTATTCATAAGCATCATACGTTTTCTGCCTGCATATTGCTATCTCTCTCTGCATTTTCATACAAATTGTCAACAAATGATTCCGTCTCCCTCCATACTCGCATACTCGTTTGTCGATCTGAGTACTAGGCTTTAGCGGACAGGATTTCATTTTCTAATTGAATGAGTTTGGGGCCCTTTGGTGTGGGTGGGTCACCAATAACTATAAACTAAAGTCTACAGAAATTCAAATTGTATTAAAGCTCATTTAATATTTTTAAGGAAGCGCAGGGAAATGCAAGGCAGAGGGAGAGTCTAAAAAATATTACGGCTATTTTTAATACCCGATTAAAAAGTAGCCGTCTTATTCAGCATACGCTTGCATATATACATCTCCATCTCTTTTCCACCCCTGACTCTGCTTTATGATTGTCATTTTTTTCTTCGAAATACCATTACAAAATTTAATTAAAGTTGGTATAACTATATTTTCGCCAACCCAATACCAAATAGTAATTTCTTGAATATGTTCAAAAACAAATACACTCAAAAGCATGAAATATACATATTCAAAAGCCCACACAGAAATACACACACGTATTCGATCAACTAAGGGAATTCATTCATCTATGTATATATATAAATCTATCACTAAGAATACGAACCAATGCACAGCCAAATCCACTGGTTAACAATATTAATATTCATTTTTATTACATTCTAATAACTTTAAACTGATTTGCTAAGATTTATTGGGGCTCCCCAAGTGGCCCCAATCGCTTCCAATTGGAAAAAAGTTCCATTTTCTTTTCAAAAATTCTGGACGCTAAACCGTTTAACCAATCGAATCCGTGTTTTCGCCAAAAAAAGAAGCTTAAGACATTATAAATGTTTAACAAATTTAACCACTTAGATTTAAGGCTTTTTACTATTTTTAACACACGTTTTCAAAAATAAATATGCAGATTCCTGTTAGGACAGATGTACGCGGTGAAATAAACACCGTAAATGATAGGGACATTTACAGCAAACAATACCCTTATGCTCCATCAGTTTCTGATTTTGTAAATTCAGAAATAAGCCGAATGCTAAAAGAAGAAATTATAAGGTCAAGTAGAAGTCTTTATAATTCCCCTGTACTAGTGCTACCAAAAAAGGGTTTCAATGAAAATAAAACTCGAAAGCTCAGACTCGTTATCTCTATATATAAAGCTATCAGTAAGAAAACTGGGAATCAACGCACAGCCAAAACCACTGGCTAACAATATTAATATGCATTTTTATTACATTCTAATAACTTTAAACTGATTTGCTAAGATTTATTGACGCTCTCCAAGTCGCCCATTCCATTTTCGCCAGGTCCATTTTCTTTTCAAAAATTCTGGACGCTAAATCGTTCAACCAATCGAATCCGTGTTTTCGCCCAAAAACAGTTTAAAGTCTTAAAATGTTTAAAAAATTCTACCGTTTAGATTTCAGGCTTTTTACTATTTTTAGCACCTGTTCTAAAATTTCAATTTAGCCAAAAATATCTTCAAACGTCAAAAAATGGCACTTCTAAACTGAGTATCAAAAATTCCTTCGGTAAAGTTTTTCCTTAAGCTTTAACGGTTCATTTGATGGTTTCACCAAAGCTCTAGCTATCTTCTAAACAAAGAAACTAAGCAAAAAGTCGATCTTTTATCGAATTTAAGTGTATCCATAAGCATCATACGTTTTCTGCCTGCATATTGCTATCTCTCTCTGCATTTTCATACAAATTGTCAACAAATGATTCCGTCTCCCTCCATACTCGCATACTCGTTTGTCGATCTGAGTACTAGGCTTTAGCGTACAGGATTTCATTTTCTAATTGAATGAGTTTGGGGCCCTTTGGTGTGGGTGGGTCACCAATAACTATAAACTAAAGTCTACAGAAATTAAAACTGTATTAAAGCTCATTTTATATTTTTAAGGAAGCGCAGGGAAATGCAAGGCAGAGGGAGAGTCTAAAAAATATTACGGCTATTTTTAATACCCGATTAAAAAGTAGCCGTCTTATTCAGCATACGCTTGCATATATACATCTCCATCTCTTTTCCACCCCTGACTCTGCTTTATGATTGTCATTTTCTTCTTCGAAATACCATTACAAAAAATAATTAAAGTTGGTATAACTATATTTTCGCCAACCCAATACCAAATAGTAATTTCTTGAATATGTTCAAAAACAAATACACTCAAAAGAATGAAATATACATATTCAAAAGCCCACACAGAAATACACACACGTATTCGATCAACTAAGGGAATTCATTCATCTATGTATATATATAAATCTATCACTAAGAATACGAACCAATGCACAGCCAAATCCACTGGTTAACAATATTAATATTCATTTTTATTACATTCTAATAACTTTAAACTGATTTGCTAAGATTTATTGGGGCTCCCCAAATTAAGCAAAAAGTCGATCTATTATCGAATTTAAGTGCGATGTTCGTGAACGCTTGCAGCTTTAATCATCTCTAATATATATGGGCTTAATGCCATCTCTATTCTATTCTATATATTTAATCTATGTACAAGAAAACATGTATACAATATCTTTTCGGTTTCTGGCAAACGCCGCTAAGACGACGTCATATTGCGAAATTCAATTCAGTGTCAAATAGGCTTCGCAACTGGCAAGAATAAAATTAATACAGTCCACATATACGCAACTCAACTCTTTCTTATTTCTGACCATATTGTTGGTCCTTCGAGCCGGATTCTTGGACAGTTAGTGAAGTGCTTTGATTCTCAGGTTAATTATTTGCTATGGAACAATTAAAAGCATTGGTGAAAAGCCGTTCCAGACTCAAGGGCAACATCACACGTTGTCTTTCATGGGCTGAGCAAGCCCATGTGTCGGCAACACAAGCGGAGATCTCCACGCGCATACAACTTCTCCACAAAGTTTGGAAGGAGTTCAACCAGTTCGGCGATTGCATTGCTCTCCACGAGGATGTAGAAGGTTACGTCGATCCGGAGATGGATAACGCAATTTACGAAGAAAAGTACCTAGGGCGAACGCAATTCTCAAGGACAGAATGCTCTACAACCAAGTACATCTACAGGCATTGTGAATGGCAGCAACGGTCTGCACTCCAACGGCGATGCAATTGTAAATTTGCTACAACAAAACCAACAACTATTTGAGCGACTGGCTGCAAATCAGGCTCATTCGAGCACGTCGGTTCATGTTGGTGGTGACGTCTCTTTGGCGAATTCAAGTTCGGTACATGCGGCGAATTCCAATTTGAGTGAATTGCCGAAAATTCAAATCAAATGGTTCACTGGCAACTGGCATATTACCAAGTGGCCCTCTTTTCAAAACATTTATGAAAGCACAATTCATAACAAGCAACATTTGTCCAACACCCAGAAGATCCATCACTTGAAAACACTTATTGTTGATGAGGCTGCCAACTTGGTACGGCACTTGGCCATTACAGCTTACAACACCGCTTGGGAACGTCTGAAGGAAAGGTGCAATCGTCCACGGCACATTGTAAACTCATTTTTGGAGCAGTTTATGAGCCTACCAACAACTAGAAAAGTAAGTTGCATCAATTCTACGGAAGGTGTCAGACGGAGCAAACGAAATTATTCGCGGATTGGATGCAGTCAACCAGATGGGACGCGATTGCTGGATCATCTATCTGGCCCTGGAGAAACTGGACGCCGACACGCGGCGTAGGTGGAATGAGCGCAGCATGGACACAGATTCCCCCACTCTCGAGGAATTCTTCAAATTTCTGGATTCTCGTTGCGAGGAACTGGAACTGAGTAAAAGGGAGCTTGGGACTTGTAGTAAGACAACAACACATGCAGAAAAACCAAAAAGGGTCACACAATCGATGGTTGCGGTCGAAGGCAGTGGCTGGACCAAATGTAATTCAACAGAACACACTCTGTATAACCGTCAGCTGTTCTTGGATATGTCTGGGATGCAGAGGCGATCCTTCGTAAAGGAGAAATCACTGTTCTACAACTGCTTGCGACCTGGTCATGGAGTCAGCAAGTGCAAGTCGACATACAAATGTAGGCAATGCACAAGTAATCATCACTCCCTTCTACATGTCCAAGCGAATCCACAGGCTATTGGGAATCTTGCTTAGATAGCAGGCGAGGACGAGCGAAACATAGGTGCGTCCAACAACACTTCGGTGACTCTCAGTCATTTCGCCCAAGGAGAGGGCACTCAATTAGTTGTATGTGCACAGGGCACTGCAAAATCTGCACAGGAAACGGAAGTTAAGCGAAGCATATTACCAACTGCCATAGTTTCGTACGTATCCGAGCGTTGCATTCAAGCTCTCGGATTGACAAGTTCGGCATCACGCATCTTGGTTACGGGAATCTCTTCGGTGAAAGCAGATACGACAAGGAGATGCAGCACCTTGCATATCAAGACCCATATCTCCGAGGATCATTTGGTTGTCTACGCCCACGTGCTAGGCAGAATTACTTCTTCGCTGGAACGCCAAAACATCGATGCATCGGCACTCGAGGCATTCAAGGATCTGCAGTTGGCGGATACAGAATTCAACACAAACTCACCTGTTGACATTCTATTGGGAAGCGAACACGTATGGTCGGTGTTTACAGGACGAAAGATGTACGACAACAAGGGTAATCTTATCGCCATTTCTTCGGTGTTCGAATGGGTAATAACATCACTCATCACATCAAATCCAAGCAACGCTATTGCACTGACTGCAATAGTAGACATAGGCGCCACGCTTCAGAAGTTTTGGGATTTGGAAAACGTTCAAAGCAGAGCAAAACTGGATCCGGAGGATGATCAGGTCGAGAAGCACTTTCTCGCCACTCACAGTCGCGATGAAAACGGGAAGTATATCGTGGATCTTCTATTCAACACAGAAAACCCCGATTTCGGAGAAACTCTGCAAGGAGCGCTCAAACGCTTTAAATCGGTTGAGCGGCGGCTGCAACGGAACGACCAGCCGTACATAGTACGTATACTTTATGCGGGAATACACAAATCTGGGGCACATGCGAGAGGTGCCACCTGAGGAAAACGGTACTGGAAATCAATTTTATCTACCACACCACCCAGTTCTGGGTCGGAAGCTACGAGTAGTTTTCGATGGATCTTCTCGTGATGCCAATGGTAAGGCTTTAAATGACTCCCTGTTTACAGGTCCCAGTATCCAGCGCGATCTATTCGCTGTGTGCCTTCGTTTTCGAATGTACAAATTTGCATTCTCAGCGGATATCGTAAAAATGTTCCGCCAGATATGGGTCAACGAAAAGCACAGAAACTCCCAGAAAATCGCTTGGAGAGAATGGATGGATCTTTATCCATCCGATCTTATCAAGCATTTCCAATTGTGTACAGTAACCTACGAAACTTCATGCGCACCATTCCTGTCTGAGCGAGTGTTGGAACAACTTGCTGTCGATCATCAAGAGGAAAACCCAAATGCGTCGAAAATCCTGCTGGAGGATTTCTATGTAGATGACGTTCTTACTGGGTCAAACAGTGAGGAACCGAAACGAGCTGATTCAGCTGATGTCTCGTGCAAACCTTGAACTCGGGAAATGGGTATCCAATACACCATATATACAAACGGATGATAGCGACACACAACCTGCACAAACGTCACCAGTAAAGGTTCTCGGACTTTACTGGCATCCTGGAAAAGGCATTCTAACGTACAATGTCGGTCTAGCTGAAAATCCTGATTACACAAAGAGGCAAGTCTTCTCCGACGTCTCGAGGATAGTTGATCCTCTCGGACTCTTGGCTATGGCTCTTGAATTTGGATTGGGATGACCCCCTCCAAACTAAACTGGCGAACAACTGGCTAAAGTGGAGAGCAGATCTGGACAACCTTCAAACATTCCAACTACCACGATTTGTCGCCAACGACCCGGACAACATCGACTCCAAATCCAACTGTTTAGGTACACTGGCTGAAGCAACTCCGGTTCATCCACTTGATGAACTAACCGAGCGAGTGTCTTCTGGGATCAAGCTCGTCGGCTACGTGAAGCGATTCATTCAACGTACACGAAACCTATCTCGCAAAAGGGTATCTAGCGCTCTCACATTTGATGAAATTAAGAAGGCAAGGATTCTGTGCATAAAACAAGCACAAGGTTGTTTCAAAGACGATTACCAATTGCTCCTCAGTAAAAAACCTTTAAGGAACCGATCACAGCTGATCAAACTGGCACCCGTAATCGACGAAAACGATTATTAATTGTTTGATGGTTAATTGTTTGCTATGGAACAATTAAAAGCATCGGTGAAAAGCCGTTCCAGACTCAAGGGCAACATCACACGTTGTCTCTCATGGGCTGAGCAAGCCCATGTGTCGGCATCACAGGCGGAGATCTCCACGCGCATACAACTTCTCCACAAAGTTTGGAAGGAGTTCAACCAGTTCGGCGATTGCATTGCTCTCCACGAGGATGTAGAAGGTTACGTCGATCCGGAGATGGATAACGCAATTTACGAAGAAAAGTACCTAAGGGCGAAAGCAATTCTCAAGGACAGAATGCTCTACAACCAAGTACATCTACAGGCATTGTGAATGGCAGCAACGGTCTGCAATCCAACGGCGACGCAATTGTAAATTTGCTACAACAAAACCAACAACTATTTGAGCGACTGGCTGCAAATCCGGCTCATTCAAGCACGCCGGTTCATGTTGGTGGTGACGTCTCGTTGGCGAATTCAAGTTCGGTACATGCGGCGAATTCCAATTTGAGTGAATTGCCGAAAATTCAAATCAAATGGTTCACTGGCAACTACACAGAGTGGCCCTCTTTTCAAGACATTTATGAAAGCACAATTCATAACAAGCAACATTTGTCCAACAGTCACTTGAAAACACTTATTGTTGACTTGGCCATTACAGCTTACAACACCGCTTGGGAACGTCTGAAGGAAAGGTGCAATCGTCCACGGCACATTGTAAACTCATTTTTGGAGCAGTTTATGAGCCTACCAACAACTAGAAAAGTAAGTTGCATCAATTCTACGGAAGGTGTCAGACGGAGCAAACGAAATTATTCGCGGATTGGATGCAGTCAACCAGATGGGACGCGATTGCTGGATCATCTATCTGGCCCTGGAGAAACTGGACGCCGACACGCGGCGTAGGTGGATTGAGCGCAGCATGGACACAGATTCCCCCACTCTCGAGGAATTCTTCAAATTTCTGGATTCTCGTTGCGAGGAACTGGAACTGAGTAAAAGGGAGCTTGGGACTTGTAGTAAGACAACAACACATGCAGAAAAACCAAAAAGGGTCACACAATCGATGGTTGCGGTCGAAGGCATTGGCTGCACCAAATGTAATTCAACAGAACACACTCTGTATAACTGTCAGCTGTTCTTGGATATGTCTGGGAAGCAGAGGCGATCCTTCGTAAAGGAGAAATCACTGTGCTACAACTGCTTGCGACCTGGTCATGGAGTCAGCAAGTGCAAGTCGACATACAAATGTAGGCAATGCACAAGAAATCATCACTCCCTTCTACATGTCCAAGCGAATCCATAGGCTATTGGGAATCTTGCTTAGATAGCAGGCGAGGACGAGCGAAACATAGGTGCGTCCAACAACACTTCGGTGACTCTCAGTCATTTCGCCCAAGGAGAGGGCACTCAATCAGTTGTATGTGCACAGGGCACTGCAAAATCTGCACAGGAAACGGAAGTTAAGCGAAGCATATTACCAACTGCCATAGTTTCGTACGTATCCGAGCGTTGCATTCAAGCTCTCGGATTGACAAGTTCGGCATCACGCATCTTGGTTACGGGAATCTCTTCGGTGAAAGCAGATACGACAAGGAGATGCAGCACCTTGCATATCAAGACCCGTATCTCCGAGGATCATTTGGTTGTCTACGCCCACGTGCTAGGCAGAATTACTTCTTCGCTGGAACGCCAAAACATCGATGCATCGGCACTCGAGGCATTCAAGGATCTGCAGTTGGCGGATACAGAATTCAACACAAACTCACCTGTTGACATTCTATTGGGAAGCGAACACGTATGGTCGGTGTTTACAGGACGAAAGATGTACGACAACAAGGGTAATCTTATCGCCATTTCTTCGGTGTTCGAATGGGTAATAACATCACTCATCACATCAAATCCAAGCAACGCTATTGCACTGACTGCAATAGTAGACATAGGCGCCACGCTTCAGAAGTTTTGGGATTTGGAAAACGTTCAAAGCAGAGCAAAACTGGATCCGGAGGGTGATCAGGTCGAGAAGCACTTTCTCGCCACTCACAGTCGCGATGAAAACGGGAAGTATATCGTGGATCTTCTATTCAACACAGAAAACCCCGATTTCGGAGAAACTCTACAAGAAGCGCTCAAACGCTTTAAATCGGTTGAGCGGCGGCTGCAACGGAACGACCAGCTGCGTACATAGTACGTATACTTTATGCGGGAATACACAAATCTGGGGCACATGCGAGAGGTGCCACCTGAGGAAAACGGTACTGGAAATCAATTTTATCTACCACACCACCCAGTTCTGGGTTGGAAGCTACGAGTAGTTTTCGATGGATCTTCTCGTGATGCCAATGGTAAGGCTTTAAATGACTCCCTGTTTACAGGTCCCAGTATCCAGCGCGATCTATTCGCTGTGTGCCTTCGTTTTCGAATGTACAAATTTGCATTCTCAGCGGATATCCTAAAAATGTTCCGCCAGATAAGGGTCAACGAAAAGCACAGAAACTCCCAGAAAATTGCTTGGAGAGAATGGATGGATCTTCATCCATCCGATCTTATCAAGCATTTCCAATTGTGCACAGTAACCTACGAAACTTCATGAGCACCATTCCTGTTTGAGTGCTGGAACAACTTGCTGTCGATCATAAAGAGGAAAACCCAAATGCGTCGAAAATCCTGCTGGAGGATTTCTATGTAGATGACGTTCTTACTGGGTCAAACAGTGAGGATGGAACCGAAACGAGCTGATTCAGCTGATGTCTCGTGCAAACCTTGAACTCGGGAAATGGGTATCCAATACACCATATATACAAACGGATGATAGCGACACACAACCTGCACAAACGTCACCAGTAAAGGTTCTCGGACTTTACTGGCATCCTGGAAAAGGCATTCTAACGTACAATGTCGGTCTAGCTTAAAATCCTGATTACAGAAAGAGGCAAGTCTTCTCCGACGTCTCGAGGATATTTGATCCTCTCGGACTCTTGGCACCCATTGTAATCCAATTCAGAATCCTGTTCCAAAAGCTATGGCTCTTGAATTTGGATTGGGATGACCCCCTCCAAACTAAACTGGCGAACAACTGGCTAAAGTGGAGAGCAGATCTGGACAACCTTCAAACATTCCAACTACCACGATTTGTCGCCAACGACCCGGACAACATCGAACTCCACGGATTTTCGGATGCGTCAACCAAGGCTTATGCTGCTGTGGTGTACAGCAGAATCACCAATGTTGATGGCTCTATCTCGGTAGCCATTGTAGCTGCGAAAACAAGGGTGGCTCCACTGAAACAACAATCCTTGCCACGTCTGGAACTTTGCGCAGCACTTCTCCTCAGCCAACTGATTCGCTCGATCCCATCTGGATTACGCCACAAAAACATAACTGTTTTTGGCTGGTCCGACTCATCAATAGTGCTCACCTGGTTATCGTATACGCCAGCCCAACTCCTTGACTCTATTCCAAGGATTGCTTGGCATCACGTAGATTCCAAAACAAACCCAGCGGACTGTGCGTCAAGGGGACTGATGGCTGCTGATCTCATCGACTTCCATTTGTGGTGGAATGGGCCTTTATGGCTACGGGACAAGGTGCAGAATCTGGTAAAGTTAAACGACTCACCTTTCGGTTTATCTTTTACATACAAACGCATTAAAGGAGAAGTCAAATCCAACTGTTTAGGTACACTGGATGAACTAACCAAGCGAGTGTCTTCTTGGATCAAGCTCGTCCATATTGTCGGCTACGTGAAGCGATTCATTCAACGTACACGAAACCTATCTCGCAAAAGGGTATCTAGCGCTCTCACATTTGATAAAATTAAGAAGGCAAGGATTCTGAGCATAAAACAAGCACAAGGTTGTTTCAAAGACGATTACGAATTGCTCCTCAGTAAAAAACTCTTAAGGAACCGATCACAGCTGATCAAACTGGCACCCATAATCGACGAAAACGATTATTAATTGTTTGATGGTTAATTGTTTGCTATGGAACAATTAAAAGCATCAGTGAAAAGCCGTTCCAGACTCAAGGGCAACATCACACGTTGTCTCTCATGGGCTGAGCAAGCCCATGTGTCGGCATCACAAGCGGAGATCTCCACGCGCATACAACTTCTCCACAAAGTTTGGAAGGAGTTCAACCAGTTCGGCGATTGCATTGCTCTCCACGAGGATGTAGAAGGTTACGTCGATCCGGAGATGGATAACGCAATTTACGAAGAAAAGTACCTAAGGGCGAACGCAATTCTCAAGGACAGAATGCTCTACAACCAAGTACATCTACAGGCATTGTGAATGGCAGCAACGGTCTGCACTCCAGCGGCGACGCAATTGTAAATTTGCTACAACAAAACCAACAACTATTTGAGCGACTGGCTGCAAATCCGGCTCATTCAAGCACGCCGGTTCATGTTGGTGGTGACGTCTCTTTGACGAATTCAAGTTCGGTACATGCGGCGAATTCCAATCTGAGTGAATTGCCGAAAATTCAAATCAAATGGTTCACTGGCAACTACACAGAGTGGCCCTCTTTTCAAGACATTTATGAAAGCACAATTCATAACAAGCAACATTTGTCCAACACCCAGAAGTTCCATCACTTGGAGCAGTTTATGAGCCTACCAACAACTAGAAAAGTAAGTTGCATCAATTCTACGGAAGGTGTCAGACGGAGCAAACGAAATTATTCGCGGATTGGATGCAGTCAACCAGATGGGACGCGATTGCTGGATCATCTATCTGGCCCTGGAGAAACTGGACGCCGACACGCGGCGTAGGTGGATTGAGCGCAGCATGGACACAGATTCCCCCACTCTCGAGGAATTCTTCAAATTTCTGGATTCTCGTTGCGAGGAACTGGAACTGAGTAAAAGGGAGCTTGGGACTTGTAGTAAGACAACAACACATGCAGAAAAACCAAAAAGGGTCACACAATCGATGGTTGCGGTCGAAGGCATTGGCTGCACCAAATGTAATTCAACAGAACACACTCTGTATAACTGTCAGCTGTTCTTGGATATGTCTGGGAAGCAGAGGCGATCCTTCGTAAAGGAGAAATCACTATGCTACAACTGCTTGCGACCTGGTCATGGAGTCAGCAAGTGCAAGTCGACATACAAATGTAGGCAATGCACAAGAAATCATCACTCCCTTCTACATGTCCAAGCGAATCCACAGGCTATTGGGAATCTTGCTTAGATAGCAGGCGAGGACGAGCGAAACATAGGTGCGTCCAACAACACTTCGGTGACTCTCAGTCATTTCGCCCAAGGAGAGGGCACTCAATCAGTTGTATGTGCACAGGGCACTGCAAAATCTGCACAGGAAACGGAAGTTAAGCGAAGCATATTACCAACTGCCATAATTTCGTACGTATCCGAGCGTTGCATTCAAGCTCTCGGATTGACAAGTTCGGCATCACGCATCTTGGTTACGGGAATCTCTTCGGTGAAAGCAGATACGACAAGGAGATGCAGCACCTTGCATATCAAGACCCATATCTCCGAGGATCATTTGGTTGTCTACGCCCACGTGCTAGGCAGAATTACTTCTTCGCTGGAACGCCAAAACATCGATGCATCGGCACTCGAGGCATTTAAGGATCTGCAGTTGGCGGATACAGAATTCAACACAAACTCACCTGTTGACATTCTATTGGGAAGCGAACACGTATGGTCGGTGTTTACAGGACGAAAGATGTACGACAACAAGGGTAATCTTATCGCCATTTCTTCGGTGTTCGAATGGGTAATAACATCACTCATCACATCAAATCCAAGCAACGCTATTGCACTGACTGCAATAGTAGACATAGGCGCCACGCTTCAGAAGTTTTGGGATTTGGAAAACGTTCAAAGCAGAGCAAAACTGGATCCGGAGGATGATCAGGTCGAGAAGCACTTTCTCGCCACTCACAGTCGCGATGAAAACGGGAAGTATATCGTGGATCTTCTATTCAACACAGAAAACCCCGATTTCGGAGAAACTCTACAAGGAGCGCTCAAACGCTTTAAATCGGTTGAGCGGCGGCTGCAACGGAACGACCAGCTGCGTACATAGTACGTATACTTTATGCGGGAATACACAAATCTGGGGCACATGCGAGAGGTGCCACCTGAGAAAACGGTACTGGAAATCAATTTTATCTACCACACCACCCAGTTCTGGGTTGGAAGCTACGAGTAGTTTTCGATGGATCTTCTCGTGATGCCAATGGTAAGGCTTTAAATGACTCCCTGTTTACAGGTCCCAGTATCCAGCGCGATCTATTCGCTGTGTGCCTTCGTTTTCGAATGTACAAATTTGCATTCTCAGCGGATATCCTAAAAATGTTCCGCCAGATAAGGGTCAACGAAAAGCACAGAAACTCCCAGAAAATTGCTTGGAGAGAATGGATGGATCTTCATCCATCCGATCTTATCAAGCATTTCCAATTGTGCACAGTAACCTACGAAACTTCATGAGCACCATTCCTATTTGAGTGCTGGAACAACTTGCTGTCGATCATAAAGAGGAAAACCCAAATGCGTCGAAAATCCTGCTGGAGGATTTCTATGTAGATGACGTTCTTACTGGGTCAAACAGTGAGGATGGAACCGAAACGAGCTGATTCAGCTGATGTCTCGTGCAAACCTTGAACTCGGGAAATGGGTATCCAATACACCATATATACAAACGGATGATAGCGACACACAACCTGCACAAACGTCACCAGTAAAGGTTCTCGGACTTTACTGGCATCCTGGAAAAGGCATTCTAACGTACAATGTCGGTCTAGCTTAAAATCCTGATTACACAAAGAGGCAAGTCTTCTCCGACGTCTCGAGGATATTTGATCCTCTCGGACTCTTGGCACCCATTGTAATCCAATTCAGAATCCTGTTCCAAAAGCTATGGCTCTTGAATTTGGATTGGGATGACCCCCTCCAAACTAAACTGGCGAACAACTGGCTAAAGTGGAGAGCAGATCTGGACAACCTTCAAACATTCCAACTACCACGATTTGTCGCCAACGACCCGGACAACATCGAACTCCACGGATTTTCGGATGCGTCAACCAAGGCTTATGCTGCTGTGGTGTACAGCAGAATCACCAATGTTGATGGCTCTATCTCGGTAGCCATTGTAGCTGCGAAAACAAGGGTGGCTCCACTGAAACAACAATCCTTGCCACGTCTGGAACTTTGCGCAG